CACATCTCATACTCTCAATCCACATCTCATACCCTCAAGCCATCCCTGAGGTGTGCCTGTAGTGAATTTCCCAGACAAGGGAACCCTTAGCTAAAGCTGCTGAGCATCCCTGTCCCCATGGCATCTCCCTCCTCTTCACAGCAAAGATCTTGTTCTAATTGTTGGGGAGAAAACTCCAGTTTTTGGTACCAAACAGTTAAAAAAATAAACTTAAATTAAGAGGTTAGTCACCAGAAAGTGGAAACCATGTCTGGAATTGTTAGAAATAAGGCTTGCTTGAAAATAAATATAGAATTATTCACCATGGTAACTATTGCCCTATTGCGTTAGTGCGTATCGATTTAACATTAATCCAAAGACTAATGCTGTGAAATATTTGGACTCTTTAATGGACAAGTGTTTAGTTAACAAAGCTTTGGGGAGTTGTGGAGTTTTTGTTTTGTTTTTCCTTAGGTTGTCTCAACCACTTTTGGAAGAATATGGTTTTGACTCTTAAGGTTACTTATTTCTCACATGGATCTTGCTTTTCCATTACACTTTATGGATTTATCCTTAGTGCTGCACCAAAATGATCTAACTAATGCTGGAGTGTTGCAGTGAGGAATAAAAGGAAAGATTTAAATGTGACTGCACAGGCAAATGCCTGACTTCTGGTCTGGCACTGAGCAAAATTACGTTAGAATCCAGACTCTCCAGAGCAGACTGATGTGCCCATGTCCTCCRGGCTGTCCAAGGATCTCAGATGATCTCAGAGCTCCTGTGTGTCCCATTCCATGGCTGAAGAGCCCGAGGCYCAGGGAGCAGCCTTGGCTCTCCCTGAAACTTCATGGCAAACCCAGGAAATGAAGGGAGATCTCGCAGTTCCAGACTCATCCTGGAACCGTCAGAGGAGTCTCCAGGGAAAACATAAAAAGAAATGGAAAAAAGATGATCAGGGACAGAATACAGGAGCCAAAACCAACAACAGTGTGTTCTGGAAGTGTCCCACAGATGAGCAGCGCTCGCTGCTGGGACAGAAGCTCTGACAAATGCATTGGGCTGGAGGCTGGATGGTGTCATTACAAAGAACAGGGTGAAGCATTTAAGTTAGCTGATGTACTTTTAATTTTTACAAGCCCATCTGGGATGACTTCAATTACTTGTTCTTAAATCACGGTGGAAAAATGCTGGTTATTCTTAAAGCCACATGAGTCGTTCAGATGAAATGGGGATGGTGGTAAACAGAGCATTTTTAAACCAGCATCGACTTGCAAACAGTTATTTTTTCTTTATTTTTAAAGAAGGCTGGGAAGATGTGTGAACTTGCAGCAGCCTGCACCTGAAACTGGAGCCTTTATCCACCAAAGCTTTGCGAACTTGTAAAAACTCCCCCTAGAACAGGGTGATTCATGGGGTGAGGGAGGGCACCTTTCCCCCGCTGGAGCTGCCTCTTCCACGGCTCCAGAGCAGCCTGGGCACGGTGTCACTGCTCAGGCCACCCCATCTGCCATCCCTGTGCCCAGGTGACCCCATCTGCCATCCCTGTTCCCAGGTGACCCCATGTACCATCCCTGTGCCCAGGTGACCCCATGTACCATCCCTGTGCCCAGGTGACCCCATCTGCCATCCCTGTGCCCGGGTGACCCCATCTGCCACCCCTGTGCCCGGGGTGACACCATCTGCCACCCCTGTGCCCGGGTGACCCCATCTGCCACCCCTGTGCCCGGGGTGACACCATCTGCCATCCCTGTGCCCGGGTGACCCCACCTGCCATCCCTGTGCCCGGGTGACCCCACCTGCCATCCCTGTGCCCAGATGACCCCATCTGCCATCCCTGTGCCAGGGTGACCCCATCTGCCATCCCTGTGCCCAGGTGACCCCATGTACCATCCCTGTGCCCAGGGTGACCCCATCTGCCACCCCTGTGCCCAGGGTGATGCTGTGCCCGGCTGTGAGAGGCAAAGCAGAGGCTGCACAGAAGGATCCACCRCTCAAGGAGCTGCCACAGAACATAACCTATGATTTAGAGCTGCCTTTGCCCTCTTGAGGCTGTTTGAAGATGCCCCAAATGCCTTAAAATCCAGGAATTCTGATCCAAACATGAGCTGTGGCCACGTTCATGCGGCCCACGAGAGGGCTCAGCAGTGGTGGCAGGGCTGGTGCTGCCAGCTGGGAGCTCACATGACACGGGGACACGTGCAATCTTCACCTTGACTTATTTATGGCAGTGTTTTAAGTGCAAAGAATGTTAGTTGCAGGCTGGTAGGTGCAGATAAGCTCCCAGCCACCTTTTCTGGCCGGTCAGGCAAGGTTCTTTGGAAAAAAAACATTCTAATATTCAACTGCTAAGTGTTTAAAATATAATATAAAGATATACTTCCAGATAAATGATAATAAAAGTGGGTTAATTGATAAAGCATATCTGGACTGGAATTTGTCTTCAGGGTTTTGGTTGTGTGTGTGCCTGGATTTAACTTTCTCAATGGCCTCTCTGGGGCTGGTTGACCCAGTGTCCCTGGAACAGGGGTCATGTTTCTTCACATTTTCACAAAGCATTTCTAAAAAAATTTATGCCACAAAATAAATTGATCTCCCAGGACCAGCCAGAAGGAATCAGGATTACCCCTCCTGCATTGCCGATGAGGAAACTGAGGCAGAGAACAAAATATAAAAATAGGATTGGAAATGCTTTGTCTCCAGCTCTAGCAGAGGTTTTTTTCAGGGATTGTGCCTACTCTCCTGGCACACCAACCCCCACCTCTGGTGCCACCCTGGAGCCTTCCCCTGCCTTTGGGAATGGCATTTTTTTGGATAATTCACGTCTGCCCAGCACTGGGAAGCCCAAACTCCTCAAGGCTCATTTCTATCCCAGCCACACGATCCYCTTCCGTGTTTCCTTTGGATTAGTAATTGTTGGGAGTTACCATCTGTCGAGTGGCAAAGAGTAAAAGATTAAACAACCTGGCAATTCCTGGTTCCTTTTCTCCAGGCATTTTCACAGGACTGGATGGGGCTGCAGGARCAAAGCACTGATGGGTATTTAACATTAATTTGTAGTACTCATGTAGAAATAAATTCCTTTTTTGGGGGAGGGAAATAAAGGTTAAACCTTACCAGTGAGTGCCACTGACCCAAATTTTGAGATCATCCATCTTCTGTGATTGCTTCAGCTTTGTAGGAATAGGATTTCTGCAGGTCTGTGTCCCATGCACACTTCAGTGAATCTTCCCAGCAACATCTCTGGGGAACACAGGCCCATCTTGGGACTTCTCAGCTACTCCCAAATCCTAAATCAGAGCTATCAACAGTTATAGGGAAATGTGCTTTCTCAGAAGATAACTGAAGCTGCCTTTATCTCCCAGTAACAGGATTCACCAAGTATTATAGCAGCTACTTCGCACCGCTGCAGTTAAGCTTGTTTCAGCATTTTCATTATAAACCTTTGTTTTCACAGGTTTATTTCCCAGGGAAAAAAAAAAATCTGTCTTGACTAAAGCTTGGCACACTGAGCCCTCAGGGAAGAGATGATTTTTCCTTTTACCTGTCTCACAGTGAATGGGGTCACTCCATTTTACAGTGTGTGGCTTGAAACAAAAGTGGGAATGTGTCTGGAATAGTTCCTGAGCTCTGAGCAGCACCACTGGCACTGCCACTGGAGCTGATGGTGGCATTTTCACTGAGTGTAGCCATGGCCAGACTGGCCCTTACAGGTCTTCCCACGTTTCTTTTCCAATTTGTCCCATTTTTCTGTCTGAATTGCTGCACTGGAGACTGGCTGTGAGAAATGAGGCTGGACCCCTGTGGCCGTGCTGTGGGCTGGCACTGAAGGGGGTCCCCACAGCCGGGTGGGTGTTGTGGGGTGAGCCTGACTCTTGGATGGTTTTCCAGCAGGATACACAGATCCAGGTGCCTTTGGAGCTGCAAAATCTCTGCCAGATCCTGGGGGAGGCTGGGAGTGGGGGGTGCCCCACTGGATACACCTGGGGGGGCTCTGGGAATAGTGGGTTCAGTGCAGGTGGGATTTAAAGATC